AAGATAGTTTGGAGGAGCTTTTGGAAGCCCTGCTTTTAAACACAGCTGAGATGGTGGAGAAAGGCGCGTGCTGTGTGTGCATGTGTAATGCACAGAGCATATCGATCCGTGCCTGCACGCACACATCCTTTCCCGGGCCACGGATGAGCAAATGCAGGAGCTCCCTAACGCTTTTTCCGCAGGAACATCTTGCATCCAGACCTCCTCCTGCCCCCAGGAATATTTCACAGAAGGCGAGGGATGTGTTCCCATAGATATCAATCCAAGGCAGCTCCGGATGCCGTCACCGTCAGGAAAACCTGCTAGGCCCTGGCAGAGTGTCTGCCAAAGCCTCACGTGCTGCTGCTCTCCGGGCATCGCCCTGAAACGCCGGGTGAAGCCTSGGCTCCCTGTTGCTCCCTGGGGAGGTCCCATCGCAACGGCCTGGCAGGACAGTCCCCCACGCACGGCTACGTGGAGCATCCAGCGTCGCGGGGAGGCTGCGATGGATGCGCTCGTGGGAGGAGGAGGGAATCGCTGCTCATGGCAGGGATGAGGATGGCATCCCTGCATTGTGGTCCCTGCATGGTGATTCCTGCCTCGTGGTCCCTGCATCGTGGTCCCTGCATCACATCCCTGCAGCGTGGCCAGAACAGCAGGTTTCTGTCACACTGGCAGAGCCCACATCTTTGGAAAAACCTTCCTACCCCCTTCCTTTTTCTGCAGCTGCTGTAATATAACCTCCTCCTGCTGAATTTTCATAGTTTATGTGCAAATTAAACAAATAAGTCTGCTGAAGATCACACGCAAGGGAACACGCAAGCCTGGTATGTGCAAAGGAGATGGGACAGTGTGGATGCTGAGAGCAGAACCCAACCTCGCGGGGCCCTTTGCAAACAGGGAATATCCATCTCCACGGGGCCCTTTGCAAACAGGGAATATCCATCTCCACGGGGCCCTTTGCAAACAGGGAATATCCATCTCCACAGGGCCCTTTGCAAATGGAATATCCAGCGCTGCTTCACCGCAAGCCCTTCCTGCAAAGCACGCAGCACTGCCTGAAAACACTGGCTTTTCCGACAGAATCTTCAGTTACACAAAGCAAGGGATTAACTGCAGGACTCCCCGTATTGCAGGAGCTGGGAAATGAGCTGTTGAGATACTAGTGAAATGTGGACGGTAGGAGATGCTCCTTTAAAGCAGGAGCTTGTAGATAACCAGTGTTTCTGCCCTGTTCAGCTTTGCAAATAGACTGCCCGTGTCCTTCCTGCAAGGATATCTAGCAGCAGCGAGGTGGAAAAATGTTTTAAGAGGTTATTTTTTAACTCCAGTATCTTTTTTTTTCTAAAGTCATCACAACAGGGAAGATTATTCCTCATGAATCCTGTAATAAAACATGCTGAAAAGTTACCAGAACAGCACGCTGGCATTTTTAGACCAAAAACACACATGCTTCTTGTTTGGCCCTGTAGCACAAGACAGAAGAAGCAGCACGAAAGCCAGAGAGGCGGAACATTTTCATGATGTTATCGTATTTTTGCCGCGTCGTATTTACACTGTGATTCACAATRGGGAAAAAAACCATGTGGGAAACGGCGGAGAAACCCGTTTCCTGCCCAGCTCGGCCGCACAGTGACAAAGAGCAGGGTGGGCGGCAGCGCGGCCGAGACCCCGGCGCCCTCCTGCTCCTCTCGCCGTGTGGCAGCGTCCAGAACAAAGTCTTTTATTCCTGTGTTTGCACCTAAGAAAGCATAGGAGCATTAGGGAACATTAAAAGCACAGGACACGACCCAACGCTCAGTGCAAAATGATGCACTGTCCTTCCGGCAGGTTTTGCATCAGGATATTAGGGATGTATTGCCCCCATGTCCCATATCTGCAATTGGGAAGCTCCAGGGAACGGGCAGAGGAACGTCATGAAGCAGCATGTCGTTTAGGAGGCAAACAGGGAGGCTCATCTGCGGCGACGCGGAGCTSGCAAATGAGAACTTTCTCACCGGATAAATCAGGATTTCAAAGCCCCGGGCGATTGCTCCAGGGCCGTCTGCCTGCAGAGGCCTCGCTGGCTTCTCCCATGCAGGGATCCGCGGGGCGAGAGCCGCTGCAGCCGCACACGTGCAGAGAGGGCGTTTTGAGGGAAAAAGGCCCATGTTGGAAYGTGCTTCCTAATGGAAGCGCTGACTCCCAGGGCAATCTGGAGCGGGACGGACACACATCCTCCTCCGCATCGTTTTCCAAGCCCCGCTCYGGCTGCACCAGGAGCTGGATGCATGTTTTGAAGCGGTGGGAGAAGCACCAACCTGGGCGCCTCTGCTGCAAAACGTGGGTCCAAAGGGAGCAGCAAAGAATCCCCCAAGGAAGAAACCAGTCTTGGGAGAAATGAACCCCGATCGGCTGCTCCCAGCGCGCCAGGAAAATAATTCTTGGCAAAGCTGAAAGCAGAGTGTGCAGGGCAGCGTGTCGCTGGTCTTGGGGTGCAGGAGCCTGCTGAACCGCTCAGTGCTGGAGGTGCTCGGAGAAGCCCGGCAGATGACCCTGTAAAACAGCACAGGGCAACCAATTTAAGTCCAGCTTACAGAGAAAAACGTCGCGGGGAGGCAGAAATCTAATCTCCATCAGCAAAACGGGAAACGAGATGAATTTCAAATAAACTTGCCAGGCAGAGGGCACATAAATATACATTAACTGTCTAACGGCAAGGGGTTGACACAGTGATTCATGAGCTCAGCCTYGGAGAAATAATAAAAATCAATTCCCAGTGATGTAGCCGCAGTCGTGGGCAGCCCCGCTGAGGAGCCGCGTGGGAAATGGGCACGAGACAACAGAACCGTCGAGGAGGAAGAGGCGGCCCCCAGACATAACGTAAACACAAGGCTTAGCTTAGCCTAGGATTAATTAGGAGAGGGGATCGAATAATTAGAGCTGGCCAGGGAGCAAAATAAAACAAAAGGGGTCTAATCTTAGAAATAGAGGAAATAAAAGCAGAGATGGGAATGCCCATGGGAAGAGCGACCGCAGCACGGGGCAATTAGGAGCAGTGTGATGGAAGGCAGCAGCAGATCTTTAAAGCTGACTATCTGCCAAAATGACCTAGGAGCAAAAAGCTCCRAGTGTCCCATGTGGAGCAAGCGCTCAAGGACAAATTCCAGCCCACAGCTCCGTATCAGCAAGGCGACCCACAGCAGCGCAGCGCCTTGCCCTTATCTKGGTTCCTCAAGAAAAACCGCCCGTTCATCGAGCCTGCAAAGCTCAACCTCTTCCCCGTGAAGGGAAAGAAGCCAGCGGCGGGAGGCCGGGACGCTGCAGCTCTGCGCGATGCCACGGACCAGAGAGGCTCTGCAAGAGGGCGAGAGCTCTGCTCTGCGGACAAGGAAGATGCAAATCCGCCCGCAGTGTGTTCAAAATCCTTGCAAATTGAAAAATCTTTCAATAAATGAAATCTTTCATTTATTCTTTAGGGCCGTTTGCTCCTCACAATTAATCTTTGAGGTTCCTAGATGCTTAAGTTAAAAATCCCAACCTGCACACAACAATGCACAGGTGTCAGTCCTTATCCTGCCTTCTCCTCCCAGCACCGGTGATTTATTTCTCCCCCATTTGCCAAGGGACACATAAAAGCAGAGTCTCCTCCCTTATATGGGGATCAGCCAGCAAGTGCCAGCACGCTCCGATGGGAGGGAAGCGACTGCTCCATAAATCTGGAACATGCCCTGGACAACAGCGGAGTCTGCACCGACCACAAGAATTGCAGGAATCAACGCCGGTTGTTTACAGCATTTCGGGACGCATCCCGTGTGGATGCACCAGTATACGGGGATGCCACAGGCGACCTCCTCTCAGCACTGAAAGGCAAACGGGACATTTGGGCACGTTGCAGATGCAGAAGGAGGGTCACCCTTCACACCAAGCTACTCCTAATTAGGAAGAATCAATTAAACGGCCTCTCTGGAAAAGCAGCACTGCAGCAAAAGCCTCTTTGCTGGAGCTGAGGTGTCRAACTCCCTCGCTTCACAGGGGCTATTTCAGCTATTAATGACTGATCATCCACCASGATAAACATGCCGGGTGGGAGAGCTACAATTCACCGAGGCCAGAAGGAATTTTTCCACAGAGATCCGTGCAGAAACGTGCTCTTTTATAGCATCGGGAAATCTTTGCTCAGGGTTTCTCTGTGTTTGGAAATGCTCTTCTGCCTTTATCTTCCCTCCCCATTCCCCTCACTTCATTTTTTTCCTCCTCCCCTTTGCATTACTTTGTTGTTTCTATAGTTATTCCCAAATCCCTGAGCCAACACAGAGCCCAAGCCCCAATTCCTCATGCTCTTTGCAGGGGGCTGCGGAGAGGAGCAGCCGCCCACACATTGGAGACCCCAACGATTCTCCAACTCCACAGCTTGGGTTTTTTTTTTTTAATAACAAAAGTTTAGATGCTGCAGCTTCTAAATATGCCATACAAATCATAAATACTTCAGGCAGAGGTCACGTATCTAACACGCCAGAGCCTGACGTGCTGTTTTCAAATCTCAGCAACGACCTTTGGGTGTTTCATTTGGAGATTATTTCCTTTCATTGCACTATTTCTCTCCTAACTCCTCCTGAATTAGATTCAGGTACAAATCTAATCCAAGCCCTGGTATCCTCCAGCCTCACCAAGTTTATTTTCCGCTGCCACCCTTCCTCTTGATATATTCTTTGCATATATATAGATATATACATATATTTTTATACACACACCTGTGCACAAATACTTAATAAYAGTCAGCAAAAGATCATTAGATCCTCTGCAAAGCAAGTCAAACATGAGGCTAAGACCTTCACATACTTGGAAAAAAACCTCATGGCCTGGAAAGGCCACTTACCTTTGAGAAGAATGYGACTAATGTCATTTGTGTGAAACCACAAATATTTATTTTTAATGAAAAAATACTTAAAGTGTGCCACAGTGTCCATATATTTCATTTGAATAGTAGTACAAAGATATGTATTTCTGAGAAAAAGTCTTAACACTGTAGAAAATAAATGTGGTTCTTAAATTATGTCAAAAGAAACCAGTAAAAAAGTAATGTTTTATACACTGGAATAAAATGAARCAGTTAGAGATAATAATAAATTATAATTACAGTATTTCAAATATTTGCTTCCTGCTTTTTCAGCATTAGTTTCTACATGTGTCATGTATAACAGGCCCTCAGAAACCAGCAGTCAGAATGGTCTTGCAACAGAATTGTGGATAATAGGATGTGAGTCTGAATAAAATCCTAGAAAAATGACACCACCGTTTGTCATTTACTGATACAGAAAACATCAGAACATGGCAGTTTTAGGTTTGTATCTAACATATGTTTTGTTAATGGAAATTAATTTAGTTATTTAATTAACTAATTGTCATACTTTAATGAACTAAACAGCAATTATGGTCATTAACAAGTATGTCACCCAGCACACTGCACAACTGTGCTTATGTGATGCTACACATTGTATTGGCTTTTTATACAGTCCAAGTTAACGAGAATTTGGAATAAATTCAGGCCCAATTAAGCACTGCAAAATGTTTAAAACGATAAAGTACTTTTAAATACAAATCATTTTTGCTCTTTAGAAACAGGAAAAAATCCAAACATGCACTTAAACCTGAAACCTCCATGCCTTATATACTGCAGTTTAACAGTAAAACATCAGTTTTGTGCCACTGGTTTTAAAATTTCCTCCCCCATCCCTCCCCCTCCCCGATCCAAAATTCAAATAGTGTCTAAATTGGATTTGTCAGGATCCTCCTGGTCGTGTTTGTACATGAAGGTTAGAAGGAAGAGAGCAATATCCAGAGATGACCAATAGGCAGTGTGTGAGGTGACTGCAGACCAGTATCTGCTCTCCACGAGACCTTCCCTGAGCTCGAAGTCGATCCTGTGCTCCAGTTCCACTGGAAAGGGAAGAAGAGACAACAGTGTTACTGGAATTCTCTGTTAAAAGAAGGAAAAAAAACATATATTTCTTCTACCAGCTTTGGYTTCTGATGCTATTGCTGTATATGAAATACATACAACATCTGTGTATTTGCATTTAACATCACATGCATCTACATTAAAAAAAATCCCATACATTTCATGCATGCATGTTTACCGCTTCCTTGACCTGAGTGTACTTTCTAGTTTAGAGGAAAAAACATACACCTYGGGAAAAAAATTACCCTTTTTTTGTCCCTTGCAGTAAATAAATGCACTTGTATAAAATAAATAAATAAATGCACTTATTTATGCTCCTCCTCATGGTAACTAAATGAAAGTATCCAGCAAACGCTGAGGTACCATAAATGAACTTAGATCTTCAGGAGACGGATGCTCTGAACCTTCTGAAATCAATAGCTCTCTCATGTCCTCAGTGGCTACATGAGAAGATTAAACTATGAAGGACACTATAAGCCCTCTCTGAGAATCTGCATTCCCTGCACAGCACAAGCTCTGTTAATTTCCAGATTATTCCCAATCTATTTCAACAGTTAGCCCTTCATTTCAATGGCTGTTTTGATTAATACCACATTCAGAGCAATTTGCACTGCGTGGTTAGCTGGGCTAGGCCTAACCTATTGTTAAGGCACTTCAGTGGTGAGAAATCTCTACAAAGAACAGAATAGAAAGGACAGAACTAAAAGCCTGCTTAGCTGCAAAAGCCCAAACCCCATATTGAGTAAAAAATGCAGCCATTTATCAAATCCAATTTCAAGGAATTTTAATTCTTGGCTCAAAGAATGCCTAAATGGAGAGTCACACAGGCTGTCTCCAGAGCCGCGGCACAGCAGCGCTTCGGAAGCGATGACCCCCCATATTTTATGGTGGCATTTTGCTGCTTCCAGTGAAAAGCATTTTCGGTGAAAATGCAGCAAGGAGAGGGGGAGCCGGAGCCTCTGTGTGTGGGGAGCTAACCGAGACGGCTCCGCTCAAACGCAGCCGCGCCGCAACAAGGACAGCATCCCGACAGCCCTGTCCCTCCGGGGCGGCATTCCGTGCCACAAGCTGGGGCTGGGAGCCAAGTGCCACCACGAGCCCTGTGGCCGCCCCCTCGGAGGGGAGCGTTTGGGCCGGGGATTGCAGCATTCTGCACCCGCCTCGACGGCCTCGGTGCCGCGCTCTGTCTCTAGGGCCCCGAGATGAAGCTTGGGAGAGATCTGGGGTGCAGAGAAGGCCTCCAAGTGCCAACCACCCACTGAAAGGACCTCCTGGAGAGCTCCGTGCTGCTCGCTCTCAGGCTCCCGTGTTCTCCTCCAGTTTAAAATAAAGCCTATGTCCTCAGGAATGACTTTGGGTGTCTTCCGAAACGAGCAGCGATCAAGGGACTGCAGCGCGCCCGCCACGCGAGCGCTATCACAAGATACAGCAGTGCCCCTGCTTGTGACTGCTCCCCGCCTGGCAACAGTGCCAGGGAAGGTCACAAACRGAGTCGAGCAGGAATTTCTGGAAAGGAAGTGCCTTTTTTTTGTTTTTCCCCTCAAAAAAACAACTGTTAAAACTGCCCTCTGCATTCTGGGCAGGTCTGATTAGGGCAAGAGCAGCCTCTGGTCCAAGTCATGCCCGCCTTGAAATATTGATTGCTGCAAAATTGCAAGCCTAGGAAGGAATTGAAATTAACCCCTTTTGTTACAAATGGTAAGTGGGATTCTCTGTGGCAATTACATTGCTTTCCCTTGTGAGAGTTTAGGAGCAACTGGAATAAGATCTAATGAGCTAAAACTCTGTAAAATSCAGGCATATGTATACACACACACAGGTATATATGCATAAATATATAAAATGCATATATGTATATACACAGGCACATCTATACAGATACATCTCCTTTAGGGAAAAGAAAAGGGAGAACAAAGAGGGTCAATCCTTAGAAAGACTTAAGTGATTCGAAGAGAAAAAGCAGATCCAATTTTTTATCACTCTAGAGCAACTCTTAAATGTTAAATAGGGGAGTTCTTGGTATGTTATTCCAACACTAGCCCTGCATACATTGCAGCCCACTAAAGCACTGTTTTCCCAGAGAAGCTAAAAGGCAGAGAGGGTGGCAAAGGTGCAGGACTGGCCACTAACCTGTGGGATCGAGAAATCCTGAGCTGCTGTGCGGGAAAGGCGGCGTCCCGACCGTCGGGGCTTTCTTGTCGTCGCCCTCTGCTCCGTCCTTGCCCGGCTCGGACGCCTGCGACGTGGTTGTACTCGATCGGCCGAACCTCGAGAAGAGCATCCCGCCGAGGCCCTTGCCAATGCTCGCAGCTCCTGAGGGAGAAACGAGCATCAGGGCGGCTTAATTAACCCCCAAATTAAACAAATTAAAGTCACTGCAACACCCGGCAACTCGAGCTGAGCGAGGGATGAAGGAAAATACTGTTCATGCCTTGCAGAGAATCTAACTTCAGTGAGAAGGTCGCTTCCAATCGTGAGACCCATGCAGAGTACAAGCAGAAGTTATGATTTGGAGACCGTAGTTAGGGAAAGAAAGATAAATGAGGATGCTCTTGCACCAAGAAATCTGGTACTTCAAAGCGTACGTGTCAATTAGACTGTTTATGAAACAGGGAAGAAATGTTTTATAACAATGTCAGTATTTTATGAATAAAAGAATCCCGTCAAAACGCTCAAGAGTCTTTCATTAGGGTCCTTGGGCTGGCCTAACTCCTACAGAGACGTAGAAGTTCTCTATCACTTTTGTAAAACACCAATTTAATTGCTTAGGAGTAGAGTTGTGAAAGGTTTGTGATATTTTCTCCTGACTTTGCTGCCACCTCATGGACAACCCATTAAAGTTATTAGAGTAGCACGGAGAAGCAGTGCAGGGTGAGACACCCCTGCTTTGAAATACTGTGTATTTTCACTTAAGACTAAACTGGTTGTACACATTTTAATTAGGGGATTGGGAATATTGCCGGCAGCAGGTCACACTAGCCTTCTCCCAAATCCCATGTAGAGACCTAAAGAACGGCCTCGATTCAAGCTTCATCGAAAGTTAATTTAAGGTCCCTTAAACTAAAGCTTATTTTGAATCAGAGTATGAACAAGAACAGACTCCATATGAAAGCAGTCTGAATTCGCTCACATAAAATTATGAGTTAAAGGGAACAGTCCTATTTTATAGACTAAATTTTCTCCTATTTTTCAATACCAGAAAATGTTGTCACAAAACAAGCTGTAAAAAAAGAGAAAATCTAAAGTGAGAAATYATTACATTACAGGACATTACACTATAAACTATTACACCAGGACATTATTTCAATAAGGAAGACAACAATGAGGCAGTGATGGCATAAACTCCCTGATCAACATCTTTCTGCAAGCCTTGACTCCAAGCTTGGGAACTGCCTCCTCTCCAGAGCAGATATTAATTTGGTCTAAAAGAACAACACACCTACACCGTACAAGCACCAAAAAAAGCCAGAAATAGCTTATTTATTGTGGTACCTTAAGCATGAAAAAGGGAACAGCGATGTCTCCAAGAAGCTTCTACACAAAATATAGGAACAGTGGTGGTCTCCAAGAAGCTTCTACATAAAATATGAGGACAACAAGAGCAGTTACCTAGTATACTTGCTTTGCCTATGTTTGTTATGGACTCCCCATAATGACGTCGAACCAAGACTGGCGAGGTGGTGGGGCTGGGTATCGTTGAAGCACTTTCGCTCTCGGTAACTGAGGTAGGTTCTTTGGTCGGGTTGAGAAAACTTGGCTTCATGTGCTCGTAAGGTAGAGGGTTCGCAGTGTTGTACCAGTGGATCTGGACTGGCGAAATGTTGCTGTAGTGTTTCAGAATTAGAGGTTCTAGTCTGTAGGCCTGCAAGAAGGAGTTGGAAGAGAAAATCCTGAGTATCAATATTGACTGCAAAAATCACATTCCCTTCCCAATACAGAGTGCTCTTCAACCTCACATCCAAAATATCTGCAGCAAATCAAAATATCTGTAGCAGATCCAAAATATCTGTAGAAGTGCAGTAAGCGACAGGACCATGGCACTATGTTCTATGATTCACATTTATTTTCACAGGCTAGAAGATATCTTCTCAGGGTCTGCGTGCAAGCATTTGCACGTTTCTCTATAAGACTTTTACTACATAGTTAGCATTGCTAAAACTACCCTTAACAGATGTTTGCTACAATGCACTGAAATATCCAACCTCATACACAGCTAAACACATACTGCACGTTGCAGCAGGCAGTGAGGAGCTGGCCATGCAAGTGTTTCACTTGATGAATCTTCATTAAGCATTACACAAACTGTGAATTGGTAAAGCATTTGTGTGTTTATTTTACAATCACATTCTTTCTATTGATTCTTTTCTTTGTTTTGTGAGATAGAGGAAAAATTTCTGCACTATTTTATCTAGGGAAAAAAGTAGAGTTACTACTTGCAAAATGGGCCAGCTGACTGCAATTTGATCAATCACCCCGGGCTTCCAAGGAAAAATTGCCATGCCTTCTATCTTGGAAGTAGCTGGAGCTGAACAAAACCTTGACAGGATTAGAACCAGCATGTTTTGATGGCAGCCTAAAGATATTCAGACTCAAGCAGAGCTTAAAAATAAATAAGCTCCAAATTACTATTCCATAATAAACATGAAATTTCCAAATCAAGGTTCCATCACATTTGCCAAGGCTCAACAGCCTGTCTCTGATAACAGCCAGTAACAGCTAGATATGGAAGAGAGCAAGCACAGGGCAAAGCTAGAACCAGCATCTCCYTCCCAAGTAGCACCTCACCCTGCAGCAATCTGCTACTCAGGACTCCCGAAAAGTCCTGAGTAAAACAGGGGAAAACAGCAAAGTGACTTTATTTTTTTACAGCACTTTCTAAACTGGTTGTGGAGKTTTTTTTAACCGCATCTTTGGATAGAAGATGGTTTATTGAAGACAGGAAGCTAAATAGAAGTTAGAGTTTGACTGAGAAGGGTTATTTCATCTGTCYTTGCAAAAATAATGCAGAGTAATCTTGAATGTTATGCTTATTAACATGAAAAGAGAAACAAAATATAGGATATTTAAGGCACTGATTTGTAGAAACTGTTACTCTACAGCTATAAAATCCACAACATTCTACAATGATGATTAACAAATCCTCCTGTGCTGGAACATATGTGTGCYGATCCACAGGCTTTGATGACCACAGATATTATCACACAGCTGGCGTTTAAGAACACTCRAGGTAAAAGCTTGCAATTAGAACTCACCACTGGATCTGTTGGATGAAAAATATTTAGTAAGCGGTTGCAGATCGTTTTGGGCAGAATATGATCTTGACTACCGCTGTTTCCCGGGCGGATGCCACGCAGCGCCAGAAACACTGCTAACGGAGATCCCATGCAGAAGAAATTCTCCACCTAAGGAAAGATTTCATCCATGTTAATACGGAAGGAAATAATGTTTTYTAACATTGGTGGATTTGATTTCTCTCTCTCTGTTTCAACTGAGGGATGTTGTTAGTGAGTCAAAACAGGGAAGACCGCTGTAACACACATACTATATAACARAACAGGTTAAATTCACCACTTCCCTTTGCTGTGAGAAGAGAGCTACACGTTGTAGAGCTATACAGTTGGAAAACTAAAAAAAAAAGAAAAAGAGAAAAAAATCAGTTGGATATTTGCACTGAAAGAGGTCTACCAACTCTGGAAGGGTTGGAGTGAGAAGAATTTGAAGGACACTAAGGAAACATGATGTGTGTCGTAAGACTGAAAGTCTGTTTTGTCATGAAACATAACATTTTCCCTAGCCAAGTACTCCATAGCTCATTCTGCTGCACACACCATCAAGGAAGTAGAAATGCAAGCTGCACTGAGTATTAAAGACAACCTGCAGAATACTTACAGTAGCCACACACACACACAGGCTGGTGTTACGTACAACCTCCTGGAAACATCTGGTGTTAAGTGAGTGCAACGGTGCTCGCCAAAAGTGCCACCACAAACATCAGCGATCGCTACCCATGGACAGGTACCGCACACGCAACGATCCTGCAGACTGCTCCCAAGTTGTCCAAAACGAGCGTGGTTTTGCTTAAAAAGGGCTGCCTCTAATGCCAAGAGGCAGGTTGAGTAAACCTGCACCACAACCACTACCCCATCTGACAGAGGTCACTGAACATGCAGCAGTGGTAACGACTTTTGGTCACTACCAACCTGGGCCGGGATTCAACAGTGCCCTAGAGGTGAATGGCTTCGTGTCCCATTACCAATCCTCAGCCATCGTCTCCTAGAAACATCAAATGTAAAACTCTGCGGTCAAAAATATTTTCATAAGTCAAAGTTACTTTTTAACCTGTAGAATATTTTCTTATATGGATTTTTCTTATATGAAAATTTAATTTTACCATTATTGGAATTTCACTGCGACTTTCCCAAAAGCAGAGTCCCRTTTGCAGGGCATGAGGGCAGAGCAATTTTTAGTGTCCTGCTACTTAACTGACCAGAGGAATTGCTGCATTCCTGCTAAGCGTGCATGGAGAACACTTGGATGCCCAAGTGCCCTTGCTGTTTGTCAGCACATGGAGTGAGGGGGTGGGAATAATGGTCCGGTTCATTTCTGGGATTCCAGCACTGCGCAAAACAYTCCTCCTCCTCTTCCTTGGCCCTCGTTCCCCACTTCTTTCTTCCAAAGGAATGTTTGAGTCCCGTTTCAATGAGAAAAAATATGCTGGTTTTCAGCAAAGCTGTTCAGTGTCGCATGCTACAAAGCGCTGCTCTTTGTCATCTAGCCTGCTACTCTAGGCGAGTTCAAAGCGGCTCTTCTCACAATTCAGCTTTACACAGACCCTCACATTTTCATATTTTGGACAAAAAACTCTCTCATCTTCACATACAATAGAAACAGATATTCCGAATGTAATCCTTTATACTGAATGTGCGACCTTCAGCCCTGTCCACCTGATACTCCTGTATCCAGCCTTTGGAGCACAGTTATATGGTCTTTCTCCTTCAGAAGGAAGGCTGCAGGTGCTGGGACTGTCAGCTTACACCTGCTAATAGATACTTAAAAGATATTTCTACAAATTCACTTTGGGCAAGTGTAGACCAGGCAGAAATCTCAGAGTAAATAGATTCAATGGGTGCTTTTGGTCCATTATATTGGCTGAAAAACTCGAGAAAACAGCAATGTTGACAGACAGGACACCTTCTTCTTGGAGTGCAGTGGTCTTTGTTATGTATTCCCATACACGCACTAGCCTTTCAGCATCCTCTTTGCTCACAAAGACAAGGTATACCAGTAGTGTGTTACTGTAGAGGGTGGTAATAGAGTGATAGCAAAGCAGTGTCAATTMAGAATTGAAATCAAGTTGTTCAAAAATATTCCTTAGAAAACAAAACTGAACGAGAAAATAGGAAAATACAGGTGAGACAACACACCTCATACGCATAGGGAAGGGTAGGAAATAAATGGACGTGCTTAATGGTAACGTTACAAGGAAATAGAGGGTGACTAGAGCTTATGTATCTGCACTGCCTTTCAGCCTGGAGGATCCCAAACACCCTCCCAGGACGGGGAAATGCAGCCTCTCTGTGCATTACATGGAGAGTTCAACCAGGCAGTTGTGTTGGACTGCTCGGGCACGTTGCCATACTCAATTTAAAGGTTTCCTCCTTGCAGGTGAGGCTGCACAGCAGCACCACACTCAGCTCTCAATTCTTGTACATTGTTTAATTGCTTGTGTTTTACAAACAAAAAATATGCTAAGAAATCCTCAAGTACTTCAACACAGTACATAAAAWCTTCAGATTTAAACTAATTTCTACCTCAGGACCGCAAAACAACCGACGTATACCCTGCCCTTCCCTGCCAGGGATGAAATTCATCCTCCCACATTGCTATTTCCAGGAACCACAGAGGTTTGTATGACATCCTTCCCCATGTTTCCTGCCTTTCACCCCTTTTAGTCTTTAATTCCTTATTCCAGCTCTTACATAGCTGGTGGAGACACATTAGAGCAGAAGACACAGCAAATCTTCATATTTTTTTTTCTYCCAAAGGCTGAGATCTACAGATCACCACATTTACTCTTGCACTTGTCTTGCCAAAGCTGCCTCTGTTCTTGTTTTATGTACACGTGTGGTTTTCTTCCGTCCTGGGAAGTTGAATACGTTCAGTCCATAGAAGAGACAACACAAGGGCACAACCAGCCTCGGTTGTGCAGCACAGCCCAGAAAGACTGGTGACAAAATACTCCAATCTCCTGCATATCAAGGACCAAAACCATTTGTGGCTCAAACTCTCGTAGTGACTAGCAGCTTGTGATCAAATAGAGCCCACGTCCACCACGAAGAGATGCCACGATGTTGGTAGATGGTACCTCCAAAGCAGTTACTTCTCTCTCAACAAGCTAGTCACCCTCATAAGCTGGGTGGATATCCTAATGAGAAATGCTCTCTCAGCAACATCCTGCTGAAAACTTCCCTTGGGAAATGCTCCTTGCTGCTATGGTCATGGAAAGGCCCTTGAACGCTGCCACAGGCACAGGACTCAAGCAATAAAYGGATAAAACTTCATAGCAATGAAATGGCTTTCTTCCAGAAAGAGGAAGGGAAAAAGAGGTACAGCAATGAAAATTAACTACAGTAATCTGAGCTAATACAGCCCTCTTCTACACCTCTTTTCCCTTCCCTTCCTGCTCACCGTGAACGTTTTTTTCTCCTAAAAACATGCAATTTCAACAAAATTGGGTGAATTATRCTGGCACAGAGCTAGAGAAGTATCAGTCTGACTCCAGCTTCCTTGATGATAATTGCACGGTATATGCTTTCAAGTAGTGATGATAAGAAGAAGGCTATAACAAATTGAATTATGGTCAGTTTTCTCTTTTATTAATGCTCATTATCAACYTTGGCTTCTAGGGGCCCTTCTGAATACAGAAGGATACAAAAAGAGCAAGTTAAGAAAAAATAATCAATTTTCTCTTTATTGATTATGTCACTTTTTATGGCTTAATGTTTCTGGATATACTAGAGCAACAAGGAAGTGCTGCACATCCCACCACAGAGCTAGAAAATTCCATTGGTATGAAATTTTAGCAGGTTACACAGCCAATTAGCAATCTCGTTCATGAGACTAAAAGCAACTTGTCCTAACTCTTAGACTAAAATAATCTAGAAGGAAAATCCACTCTTGGAGGATATCCAACCAGATGCGAAGTTGCTCGGAGGAGTGAAATGTTAGAAGCAATTCCCAAGAAAAGTGGATTAGTAGACAAAGAAGAAGAGAAATTTAGATGACTAGTGTAATTAATCAAATGATTTTTATGATCACATATGGGAGTGTGTGTAATATATTAGTTTATATGAATGTTTATATATTTACATATAAACATATATATCTGTAATAAGAACATATGAATAAAGTAACATGTTTACATTCACATACACACACTATAATCAATGATTTAAAATTATTCTATCAACGTTATCCCTAGGGAAACTGAAAAAGAAAGTAATTAGAATGCCTCATGCTGCAGGCATTTTAAAAGCAAGCAGAACATACAGTAAAAACCTCTCAGACACGCATACCTTAAACTTTAAGACAGGTGTTTTTGATACGGTGGATGCCTTTAACCCATGTAACCTCTCTTCTATCTCTCTCAACCTAAAAAAGAAGGAAATCTTTCTGAGATTCAGTAGAAAATGTAAGATTAACCTCTCTGATCCAAACAGGCAGTTCTGCAGGGTCTGATGGCTGCATCTGTTAGGAAAAGAGAGAGATGGCATCAGTATTTCTTGAGGCAGCCCAATTTATTAAGAAGCAATGATTGTGAAACCCTGTTTCTCTCATCACAGAAGTCAAACAAGAGGTGGGAATTTCTTTGTTCACGCTCCTGCAAGCATCTTCCCATCCTCTCTCCTCTCACTTCTGCTTCCTTGATGGTTTTGCTGCTTTATGCAACCAAATTGCCTATTTTGTTACCAGACCAAGAGCAAAAATCTGTGGCCCAGTCATTTTGGAGCTCTGTATTGTGGCGGAGTATCTGGAGCACCATGCCCAAAAGGTTGTTCCCTTGTTCTTCTAGCCACCTTGAATAARAAAGCAGCTACAACATAAAGCACTTGGAAAAGACTAGTACAAGCCCAGCACTAAAGCACCTACAACTAGAGTTCCCTAAGAGCATTTTATGGATAAAAATGTTAAGTTTAACTTCTGCTATCTTGATTAGCAAAGAAACAAAGCTGTGACTAAAGCATTCTGAAATGTAGCACTTTCCAAAARGCTCTGTATATTTTAAATGAACATGATTTGGTCCTAAAAAGGAAAGCGTGCAGGACTCAACCCTTGCCAAATATTGTCAAAGGATTCCAAAACATAAACTCAAATGCTGTATGGATAATATTCTACAACACACACTAAGTATCTATTGTGAGTGCTAATATTAAAGTAGAAATCCAGGAGTTACAGGGTGTTCGCAGTATATTTTCTATAGTTCCAGACCGAATTACACTAAGATGATTCATGAACAACAGAACCACTCCGTTTATATAAAAGTGCCTGTATCAAGGGATATTTAGATTCCTGTTGGCTCAAATCTGAAACACTTCAGTGAATGCCTATGGAAAGGGAGCAGAAGTAGGAAAAATGGCAAATTTTCCCAAGTCACATGCTAGTCTCATATCTGAAGGGTCATTTACTTATCTTCTCTCAAAACGTTGCACTTTATGCAGCCTTTTGGCTGACAGAGATGCTCTGAACCAATCACTAGTTACTTGCAGACTTATCTCAAATACTGCAGGAGACCTGAGGCTGTATCAGAGCTTCCAACAAGATAGGTTTCAAGAAGGAGCAGAGAACCGTCATCACAATCTATCCTCACTTCCCACTGCAAAGATTCAAGTTGTAGCTACTATTTCCATATTCACCATCCACAGACACCTTTATAGCACCTTGAKAGCCAGGTTAAAGCGGAGAAGTCACCTTAACACCGAGTTGTCATCACCACGATCTGCAAGGTCTTTATCCCTGAGAAACCCTACTGACACGGGAATCCCTGCCAACGCCTGCAAGCCACCAAGCTGTGATCCTATCTGCCACAACACACAGTGCTGCTTCGCACTCAAAACRACATTAACATTTCTAGATGGCAGCAAGCAAAAGTAGGTAAGGAATCCACAGCAGAGAGCCCTGAACACCCAAACACTAAGCCAAAATGGCAACACCTGCATCTAGTTGGTGGAGCTCGAACTCCAGGCCCATCCTAGGGGAAAGCCTTTCACTCCTGTCTGGGAATTCAGCAATTGCACTACTCTGGAATGCTACTTGTTGCCTACCTGCAAGCTACTCTGCTGTGTCTGACTGCTCTGAGCAACCCCAGCTCCCTCAGCCCTCTTAGTCCTGCCTTTGGCCTTCACCACAGCCATTAAGCACCAACAGAAGAGCACCAGCCACAAARGACAACAGCCACGGTGGATTCTGGATGTACCCAAAGGGCATCATCTTGGGATGTGTTTTCTTCCTTAACAAAGGGGGAGCAGATACGTTACCGTTGTTTAGTTAAATACAGTTCCTCAAGCAAACGCTGCTCCTCGTAGCTCATCCAACGGTCTTCAAGCTCTTCCTCCTCCTTCTGCAGCAGCTGTTCGTAGAGGCGGACGGGGTTCCAGCCCGTCATGATGTCGTAGGTGATCACGCAGCCCAGCGAGTGCGACACGATGGAGACTTTCCCTCCCTTCTCCTCAAACTCTGGATTCCGAGAGCAGAAGAGCGAGTAGAGGCGGTTGAGCTCCTGCTGCAGCCCTTTGACAAGCTGTGTGAAGAGGGGAGGAGAGGTTTAATATTCACATCTCACACTTCATGGGAACATGTCTTTGCCTGCCACACAGACCAGCATCTCAAACGTACAAACATCTCGGACAACCACCATCTTCTAGTTCRCAGAATCACAGAAAGATTAAGGTTGGAAGGGACCTTTGAAGATCTCTCTTCCGTCTCCATTTATTTTTACATATTCTCCATTTTTTTTCTCATTTATTTATTCCCCATTTATTAACARCATTCCTACCTCTCTGTAGGGAACTGGGAAGATATATCCATTAAAATTGATACAGTCGCTACAGTGACCGCCTAATAGGGTCTAGRAAAATACCCTCAAATTGCTTTTGTATCTTTGTAAAAGATACCCCAACTCCTCATAATCTTCATTATTCTGCTCATGACTCAGCTGCAAGGGAAGCCTCGGTTTTATTTCTTCTCCTACCATAACGCACCACTGTAATTTTTCCAAAGGAATCAGACTGAAATGTCACTGAAAAATAAAAAGCTGTCTCTTAGGCAGAAGGAAACTATTTCTCTAAGAAGAGAAAGTACAAATGAGACAGGGAGAGCTACCATTTGAACAGTGGATATAAACATTGCTAAGGGAAAGAATAAACATTTTTGCTTGCGGGTTTCTGGTTTTTTGGCTTTTTATTTTGAAGCAGGGAACAAGAATGCAACACAATTTTCAGACACAGCAAGTTAATCCCTGTGGTTCTACTGAGATATCTCTATATAGATCCAATGTTAATTGAAACCCTAGAAACTTATTTGCTTCAGGTTCTGCACCAATGTAACAAAGGCACACGGTATGAAAATATTAAGATTCATAAAAAAAAAAAAACCTTATTTGGAGAGAAATACTAAATGCCATGAAATTAAACAAAGAGACTATGGAAATGAGGGAGCTCTGCTCGTGGAACTCAGCGTGGTGCCTGAGCTGTGCTTCCAGGTGGTGGCATCGAGGAGGACAAACACAAAACGGCAAATCACTCCCTTGCAAGCGACAGGAAATTAATGCTACGGAACATGCAATTTGAGCATGATTTGTCAAGTGCCTGAATCATTACTGGATATAAATATGAATAGCAGCAGGAGCGCCAGTGTTGGATACACATTTCACGGAGCCAGAACCCACACAACAGACGCGATGGATGCCTCAAAGTGCTGTGAAAGGATTATCAAGGCGTGAAGTGGCGCGGGGAGATAAGGACCAGGGGAGATAAGGACCAGGGAGCCCATTTCTGGACCTCGTGGCTGCGATGCTGCCCATCCCTGAAGCTGGTTCTGGGCAGACTCGGGCTCTGCTCTCATACATGAGCAAACAGAGGTTTAGCAAGAGGCAGAGCTGGAAACAAAAATCTGGACTAGTGTTAACTGGCATTTCCCCCTCATTTTAAAAGGTTTTATTAAAAAAAAAGAAAAAAAAAAGCAGAGATCTGAAATTTAATTGAAATTAAATTTCAATTTAGTTGAAATTTAAGTATTCTACAGCACTTGACAGGAACTCAGTGAAACAAGCTCTCTCCTTGCACTGTTTCTCATTGCACAAAAGCTGTCACTCCCCATGTACTGACCCACTTGCTCACTGTCCTGCATCCTGCTCCCCAGCACCCAATTCCTTCACAGGCCATTGCCTTGGAAAAACAGAGGTTTTCCAGGGAGAACAACATTATGTCAGCCTCCCCCCAGCTCGTAGGCGCAGGGCAGATAAGAAATCTTCAGGCATTTATGRCATTTCATCACAAAGGTCTTGCTCTTTCTCTGTTTTGGGGCATAAATCACACCCAGAAAGTCCAGCCACATTTGTTAACTGTCCCTTGCCATAAAACATTGAGTTATTGAGGAGCTCAGCAAAAGCAAAGCTAGCAAGAAGAAACTGCTTGAATTTCCAAGCAGCTGCACGTTCAAGTTTGTGGAGCAGATGATAAGCTTTTAATTCAAGCAGATGCTCTGACAGAGACTGTTTCTAGATCCCAAATCGCAGGTTACCTAATTTAGTTTTACAGTGGTAGATCCTGCTAGAGAAAGACCTCCGAATTTTTGAGCACCATAAATGGCCTCCTTAGCTGATATGGCCAAAAAAAAAAAAAAACCCCAAAACACCTGAGAAAAGGGAGGAAAAAATAGCTTTGGCTAAGTAGTATAGAAAGTGATGAAAATATTTAACCCTAATATGTATTTTTTTCTCACTAACAAAAGCGATGCACACGCATTGCACTGCATTCATGTGCAATGCCCCATGAGCAGAGAGCTGGCTAAATGGGGCAGGACTCAGAACTGAGGTGTTTTTCCCCAAGCAGCTGCTCCCACCGGCCGTGTTTGCTGCTCTGCAGTTGAGCTCGGCTCAGCTCCCTGCAGCTCTTCCAGGAGGGACAGTGAGATGCAGCTTTCTGACAGCTCCTTAAACGAAGGGAGTGAAAAACTGCAACAAATGCAACACTTCCTAGAACTTCAAATCAGATTATATCAAGCGCCCTTCATGCCCATTGGCCTTCCTACCATAACACGGGTCAGCATCAGCCTGAGCATCCTGCACATCATCTGAAAGAAAAGTAAGGAAAAATTTCCAGTGGTCCTGTTTTCTTTCCCAGCAATGTCTTTTTCCCTGTTCTGATTTTGGGGGAAAATGCCCAAAGGCAGAAGACTTCTGCTGTGTTCAGGAGGACTCCAAAAATGCCTGCTGCAAAAGAGAAGCATGAGGTTGTACTGCAAATACTCGTGAATACCCGGAGAACATGAAGTACAAATGCACTAGTTCTTTACAGTTCCTGAAGCCTTTATTAAAGGCAAGTTGCACAGACAGATCTGATGGCAAATCGTAACCAGGCACATTGAGCACATCTCAGCTCTCATGCTGCACAGGGAGCTCCTACGTGCCCTTAAATTCCAGAGCTGCTGCTGGAGATGCAGCCTTCCATGCAGTTTGCCATACCAGTATCCCAGGTTGTTTCCTACATGTTTTAGCCTGGTTCCAAAGGGCACGGGAAAGGTTCCAGCAGTCCAAGATCTCAGCAAAACAGGGAGAATGAATAAGGGGGGAAAAAAAGCCCCAGGAAGATGGGGCAGATGTAGGAGCTGCAGGTCATCCATGAAAATCTTTTGGGGATGTTTTGCATTTTTGCTTCACAAAAAGTAGATCAATTGTTAGGGGCCTGAAGCCCCTTTTTTAGGTTACACTTTATCTGTAAATCCCTTCATGCCAGAAACTTGAGCTCAGAGGCTCGAGTTGCTCGAAGGTTAAGTGCTCCGTGGCCTCCACAAGGCTCATCAAGGCCAAGGAGGGAACGGTCTTTCTGGGCACACCTGGACAGCCAGGATGATGGTCACATCATTCCAAGGGGAGGCAAACACCAGACTGCTAATCACATAACAGGAATGGTCACTGGACATGCTCGGATCTGGAACTCCAAAAGTTCCAGCACTCCAGGGCACTCCAAAAGCAGCGGGGCAGAAAATTATCTTTTTTTCCTCCTCAATATCCAACAATAACTTTTTTCCCCCCAGTAAAGCACTGAGTCCAACCCCCACGATGGCTCTGCGAGCATCGGAAGTAACGGTTTACACTGCTCTTGCCAAAGTCCTCAGTGTCCCCTCTGCAGCTGGACGTCGGATGTAGCGCCCCAGCCCCAACCTCTTTGATCCATCAAAGCCAACCCAAATTTAGCTTTGCTCTTGGGCTTCAGCGAGTGTCCTCCCCTGAGGCTGTTCTCAACTCTGAGCAGCCCGTGCTGTCACGATCAGAGGAGCTTCCTCTCTGCACCCTCCACAGCACCTTCACCCTCTGGACACTCTTACTGACACGAGCAGCCTGCAGACGAAGAGGAAAAAATTACATGGAGCTTCATGGAAAAAGGGAGTGCAGGAAACCTGACCTCTGCAACCCCTCCAGCTCAAACAGCATCAAAGGTCTGTAGGCTGCGTGGGAAAGGAATTTTAAGGAGATCTGAAGAACAGCGAGTTTTGCAAGCAGCTCCCTCCAAATGTCTAGGGAACTTCAGGAGAAAGTGCAAACTGGTGTGAAATGTGGCAAGTCAGTAATAAGAAACTGGTGCAAAGGGGCAAACTCCAAAGGGGAAGAAATTGGTGTAAAAGGGCAAACTCCAAAGGGGARGAAACTCCTTACAAAACAAGTGATGCAGTTCAAGGATAGATTTGTAAAGGACAATAAAGCAAAGATGAGGACTGTTGGCTTCATTTGTACAAGAACATGTCAATACACAACACACAGCCTGGGATGGGATGGGTGACCCTCCAGCACCCAGCAGTCCCAGACAGCATCACTAATGGTGAGCAGATGACTGTCACAAAGACAGATGAGGGGCCAGGAGGAAACCCAGCTGTGTGAGCAGCCAGGGGGGCTGTTTGTCTTAATGACACTACACAAAAAGCATCTGAGGGTATCTAGACCCTGCTCGACTCTACTCGTTTTCCAGGTCGCTACATACATTCAAGGACAAGGAATTGAATTAAGCAAGCCACGAAAGCACCAGCAGGCAGTTCTCTGAACTGCACTTCCTACAGACTAAGCAAACACCTCATTGAAGTTGTCCTGGGTCAAATCTTCCTGCTTCGCATCCCGTTAGYTTTTAAACACACATCAAACACWTTGTGTTGCTGAAAGGACAGCAGGSCATTTCAAATGCAAAGTCTGGTATCAAAGCAAGATGAAAGCTCCTGTAAAACACAGTATTTGTTCCAAATTTCCAGGGTACAGCCATCTACCTCCCTTTTTAATGCGTGTATAACAACCAAACCATTCCAAGGTGGACAGCAAAGCTTGCCCATGGGAGCAGCACTAGTGCCAGCCTCCTGAAGCTTCTAATGTACCTTCAACACCAAGGCCACAGTCACCACGTCACCAATCCTGGGATTTTTGTTTCCTGTCCTCAGCTGAGGGGAACAGTACTAAATAACCCCCGGCATCCTCTTGCATTCCAGCTGTGGCACGAGTAATCCATGAATATCTCCTACTAATCTGCTGAGGCTATGGCAATATTTGAACTTGGTCTTTACATCTCTTGCATGATGACTGCAAATATTACTTCTGCACTAAAGGCACTTTCTGCAAACGCATCTATCAATAATTTACCTCCAGGCTGACTCCAGCTCTGCAAGTATAATGCAGATCAGTAAAACAGCACTTAACAATATAACGAAGGTGGCAATACTAAATTTATTATGCATCAATTAGCCTTTTTAATCTCTGAGACAGCCATTAATTTTTAAAGAAATACTAAGCTACACCAACAGGTCTGTGAAACGAAGTCCACCACTGAAGACACTGGCATCCAAGGTGACGTTCCCCTAAAAGGAAGGAAGGAAGGAAGCAGGGAAGGAATTAAAGTACGAAATGTCTCTTCACACAGCATGCGTGCCTCAAAGCATCAGCTTAGTGCCTCTCCTCATCTTCTGTGCAATGCCACACGTGTGCAGGGGGATTCTCAGGTTCACTCATGAGGGATCACTGTGCAGAGGAGGGTCTGCACTGCCCAGGTCACCTGCAGCGACGCAGAAATTGCCCTGTTGAATCTCCCTCCGTTGGCTTCATTCTCGTGCAGAGYGAACCCCGAGGACACCCTGTCCCCACGTCCACGGCATCGCACTGCATTATTAAYATCTGGCTCGTATCACACAGCATGTCAAAAGGCAGAGGCACCTTTTGGAGATTCTCCTACCACACTGAGGGAGGAAATCCTTGATATCAGAGTGGGGCTTGTCCAGCAGGCTCCTGCTCGTTACTTCTACCTGTGAATAAAAGCCTTATAAGAAGAAGAATGCATATAAAAATATTGCTAAGTGTTGTCGGGTGAACAGTGGCTTTACCCTTCTCTGGGGTGAACTGTTCCTYGTTGCTTAATTTATATCACAGCAAAGTTTAAATAGCTCCCTTGGAGTTATGTGCAGATTTCTGGATGAAGAGCATTAGGATGCCAACAATCTAAATAAAGAGCCGGGCTGGCACGTCCCAGCAGCAGGCAGGAATCCTGRAATACTAATGCCGAGGAACGAGTGACCGATGAATCCCTGAGGACAAGGATCATTTCTGAGCTAGGAGGAATATGGTGAACAAAGAGCCATAGCACAGCTTCACGGTGAACATTTTTCCAGGAGAAAGCTCCTCTTGATGTTGCTGTGTTATCTGTGCAAAGCTAGTCATATCAAATAAAAAGAGCTAAATAGGAATAAAAAAAAAAAAAAAGGAAAAAAGAAAAAGACTCCTTTCTATAGCTAGAAAGGCAAAATAAGATGTGAAAATATCCTGAGACTAGCTAATGATTTAGAGCCTTGCAGATCTCTTACTAAAATGTGCAGAAGTCACATCCCTGGAACACAGTTGCAGAACAATCTCTGTAATTGAAGGAACAGCAAGAACACCTGTATCCAAAGCCCTTTGACTGACAGTGAAAAAGACTATCTATTCCTAAGAAATCTATTCTTGAAGGTTTTAACATTTCAGTTGTAATAGCACTTTAACATCTGGACTCTTTGTGGGACAAATACTGGCGATTCAAACTGTACATCCTTATTTTCAGAAAGTTGCAAGATTTATCACAGCAGTTTGAATAAGGTGAAGCAGCGACCAACTTTTAARTACCATTGCAAACCTTTCAATAAAACCCACTCAGTTCAGTGAGGAAAATAACTTGGTCTTTTATAATCAGATTTAAGCACAGCCACAGCACTCTTGTTTTGTCGTTTATCACGTCTGTGGGATAGTGATATACCTGCACAACTACAATTCAGCTGAGCAGTGAATTCAATTTCTCATGCGTTGTTGGCCAGCAGACCTGAACTTTACTCGCTAACCCATTTCCCATAAGACTACCGCCGTCATGCCAAGCCTCTAATGCAGTTTAAAAATCTATTTTATTGCTGTCAGAGTTGTTTTCTCTGCTTTGTGCTGGTCTGAGCTCTGCAACGGCAGAGAAACCTGATGCAGAACTGAGAAGGCAGGGGGGAAATAATGAGCTTGGCATTGCTGAGCATCAGGAGGGGCAGGGCTCCCAGCACACCTATTTCTGGCTTACAGGGCTCCTAATGATTTCATCATCGTTGCTGCTATCGGCAAGAGTCGTATTATTAGGCAGTTCAGGTTTTAAAATGATGTTATTTAGACAAACCTAATTTTAATGCAAGCTAGCATCAAATCTTCAGGTAAGCTTTGAAATTTCCATTTTCCCCTGGTAAGCTCAACCATGCACACTGAAAACAAAAGCCCCTACGATTGCCATTGCTCCATCCATAACATAGTCAATACAGAAAAGCCTAGTATACCTAGACAGACTAACCTGAAAACACCCCTGAAAGAGTCTTCATGGAGTGGACTACAAAAGGGAYACCTTTGGGGTGCTGTACAGCTTTTACACGGTGCTTATCATTCATTTAAGGCCTATTTAGGGCCATTAAGCCCTCAATAAGGTCCTTTTGATTAAAAGGTCCCTTTGATTGATAGGGCCACACTGCAGCTACACAGAAATACTTAGACTGATAGACGCAAAAAAGAAGGGAACTTGGCCAACTATCAACCCTTGCCCAGCAGACAGGTCTCCGAGGTTGTGGTGTTCCTGCAAAGCAAGGGGACAAAGCAAGGGGACAAAGCAAGGGGACAAAGCAAGGGGACAAAGCAAGGGGACAAAGCAAGGGGACAAAGCAAGGGGACAAAGCAAGGGGACCCACATGCACTGCAGATGGCCCGGATAAGTTTACTCATGCTGTTCTCCCATCTGATTTCAGATGCAGCAGAAATGAAATAACAATAATTCATGGATTCTACGAGAGAGAGATCTCAGTCCTGAGGATTCCCATTGCTTAGGACTGGCAGATATGTGAACATCTCCCTTCCTGAGCCAGTTAGAGAGACCCCTTTCAGAGACCCATTTATGCTATACGTTAATTACACTGACTATACATTTTACTATCTCTCTTCCTCTCCTCTTTAGAATTATTTGATTACTTCAAGTGCAATTTTAGGCTCTTCATTTTCATAATCTCTCTAAAATATATACTTAAGTTGGAGTCCCTGAACAGTTAGGATCTGCCAGGGATTTCCAGGCATTTTACACATGTAAAATCCTTGCTGACTGGTCCCGTTTCAAATCCCAAGATGCACACTACCAAATCCAGGTTATAAATACTTAAACATCACTTGAAAATGAAGTTTCTTATCCCTAGCACGCTATGTGCAGTCAAGGTTTTGGGAGGTGAGGGTTAGCAGAATATAACAAAATGCCACTTTTTATTGACATTGGTATTTTATTGTTAATGACACCCTACCCCATTTAATCTAAAAAACAAAACAAAACCCTATTAACTCTCTGATCCTTCAATACCTAAGACAAACAGCACTTTTTCTATATTAAAAGCTAAGCAGAAGGAGAGAGGCTTGAGTAACACAATTTCTACAGATGAAATCTGCCTCATAATAACTGACCATCCCATAACTAAGTAGTTTTATAACTCTTTGCTTGACCATGTCAAGAACCAATCTATTCTAATTCTTAGAAAAAGATAAGTTTGAAACAAGGAGAACAAATTATTTTAATGCACAAAAGACACAAACATATTTGCTGCTCGTGGATAAAYATAAATCTGACCCTGCATGTTGCATTTAAAGAACCATCTGGCCCTTTCATTTTAATCCSTTTGCTTGTCCCCATCTTCCTCATCGCAGAAGGCTCCAAGATCCCTGAAAGCAGAATCACCCTGAATTTTGTTTGCTTTGCTATGTCCACCTAGACATAGGTGGCAAAGCAATCAAAAAGAAACAAATGCAATCAAGAGAAAACAAAAAAAAAAMCCCTTTTGATTCCAATCCCAGATGCTGCTCATTCCAGCCTCTCTCCATCCTGCTCCAGTAAAAGTTACATGAAAAGCAGACTTACTTCATCTCTGTAAAGAGGACTCGTATAATACATAATATCCATCGCGCTGCTGTTCAGCATATCCCTTAAACCTCGCACTTTATCTGGAGTAATGGAGTCAACGGTGTCTAAAAGAAAAGAGACTTGAGTTACACGTGCAGGAGAAGAGAAAAATTCAAGTGACAATCATAGTCAGAAAATGGCATCAAATCTCTGGGGGAAGTTTTGCAGCCTGTGGCTCATTGAAGAGCAAGGGGACTAAATAACGTACCTCCATCTAGGGTAAGTTTTGATCTCCATTCAACGGGAAGAAACTCAACATGAGTTGCAAGATTGGAAAAATACTTTTCTTCTATTTTCCTTGCAGTATCTCGCATCCTAAGAAAAAAAGGAAAAGAACATGTTCCTGTTAAACATACTATTCATGTTCTACCAAAGAAAAGCAAGGTCTCCAGGAACAGCACAYTTCACACATTGCCACTTTCAAGTATGGTGACCCTGGTTCATTAAATATGCAATTATATACTTCATTATTTCTAAGTATGCAACCTCAAACTTCTGTTATAAAGTACTCCTYATACAACAGAAAATTGTGCATGTTCAAGAGAGGGAGATTTCCCAAACTTTAAATGTATTATATTATTAAACAACCTAAGCTCAATGAGAAATGACTAACTCTGGTGAGTCAGAGGTATGATGGGATCTCAACTTCGAGTTTTACCATTTTGCCTTGAAATCCTGAGCCCACTGAGAGTAAAATATCCTCACATGCTGCCAAACACATACAGCAGTCAAACTGAGAAAGTAGTGTTTTTTTCCTTTGGAAATGGAAATTTCCAAACTGGAAATGAAAGAGGTTACCCTAGACTCCAACCACACCTGAGACAGCGTTGGAGCAGCTGCTCCATTTGGCCAGCAAGACACCTGAACCACAACACAACGTCAAGCACGATGCAGAGCTCCAGGACAGACCACCCTGTCCAAGCCCTGCTTGACCTTCACTCCACGTCTGATTCTTTGCAATAAACCATCCGACTCACCACGAGAGCAAGTACCAGTATCTGGCCAAGCTGCTCTCAAYCGTGGCTGCCATAGGAAGGGACAAAACAGATAAAAATCGAAGCACTGACAAACGGTGTTCTTAATTTCCCAGTGTAGCTATTATTCTGTTTGGACACAGACCTAGACCAGGATTTATGCTGTGCATAAAAGCTGAAATCAGATACATCCAGAGGAATAAAGGCGGACCTGAAATTCAGCTGTTACCAGCAGCTTGCAAAGGCTGAGAGGGAGATTTCATGGTGTATGGGGCAAAATTGTTGGTTGTTTTAATACAGCACCATCAATTTTATAGTGAGAATGAAAAATACTGCTCTGAGGAAGGAACAGGAAGGTCAATACCTCCTTCCTTTATACAATTCTTTATTCAAGGATAATCCATTCTTCTTTTTGTAACTATGTCTTCCACAGGAGAAGTACATTACGATATTAAAGAGCAGATATATGATGTTTAATACATGAAACAGGCAGTGAGAACATGCTTTTCCACAAAGGACATCTACATTTTTTGAAGGAGAAAAAGAAAGGAAGAGGAGAGTATCCTTTTGCACATTTTGATTTAAAAGTTACTGATGGCTTGACCAAGGAGTCAAGAAATGCAACAAAGATATTAAAAACATCTTTGTTTTTAGAGCTGGTTTTGATTGCATTCCTAATCTCTGGGCTTATACGACAGCAAATGTTTAAGAAACACAGCAGGAATCCTTCCCATGATGAGAAAAATCAGCAAGAGGATCTGCTTAAATCAGAGCTGATGAAGCGTTCTGTTGCTTAGGGCTAACATAAGCCCTTTAAATATCTTTTGCATTTCATATGATAAACATAGATCTTGGTTTCATTCAGCAAACAAGTAAGAAAAAAAAAATAAATATAGAGGTCATGATATATGTGAAATGTAATGAAGAAACAAACCTCCCCTAAAGGTGTGGGGGCCAAAAAGCCAGGAGAGCAGTGCTGCCTTGCTCCAAACACACTGTTTTTAGCAGTCTTACCAAGGGCAAATCCAACTGTCCCCAAGTCTGTGGCTTGAGCAGTGACTAGTGCAGGCTTGGAAASGGAAATCCTACCATTTCCTTCAGGATAGATCTGGAAGAGATGGAGACTGAGCATCTAAAGAGATATATTTCAAACTCAGACCAAAGTAATGCTGTAATTGCCGAGCGGTGTGGCCATGCTCACAGGCAAAACCTCTTGGAGGACGGATACCTGCTGCAGCCACACACGCCTCTTCTGCTGCTAACGCTGCTTTTGCTGCCTTCTTCTTCTTTTTTCTTTTCTCCAGTTCAATATTTTCAGCTGGTTCTTTACATGGCCAATCTCTCTGGTCTCTGTCTGAATTAATACCAATTGAAGCAATAAATYCCCATCTAAACAGACAAAGAATTCTTCTCCTTTCAAAAATACAGATGTTGAAATCTTGACCCCAGAGCAGCAATTAAATAGATCTACACATTAAACCATGTGGTAAAAACTCAAATTTATGATTTTTTTAATAAAAAACAATTCAGACAGCCATATTGCACACCTTAAAGCATTCTGATTTTTTTCTACTTATCTGCAAGAATTAATGATCTAAAAATAGATGCTTTGAGACTCACCATAAATGTGTTTTGCTGCCCTTCTCTGACTCTACCAATGAATTAATAACACCTTATTTTCTCAGGTATGCCTGTCTTCTTGGGCAGGCATATTCCAGAGATATATTTAAAATTATCACTGTCATTTTTTCAATCCGACACTRCTAAGTTTATTCTCACGTAGCATTCACAAATATTATATCAAAAAAATGAGCAGCTACAAGCAAAGTAGCTTCAATTAATTCAGGAAGGATATCAAATCACCTTGACAGCCAGTAACAAGGAAAACTGTCTGAAGGCTTGAGGACATTATGCTCTTTTTATTCACAACTCATCTTTGCAGACTCCCTTCAGTCTGAGCTAATCCACAGCCAAGAGAACATAAATGAATGGTCTTGAATTAAAAAAAAAAAGGAAAAAAGAAAGACCATTACATCAGCCAACTTTCCAGCCTGAACTCTTGATTTAGGAGTGAGGGCAATGGGATGAATGGCCCTACTTACAAGGCACAAGATGTTCTTCAGCAGTTTCCTTTTTGTCTCCTCGTGGTGAAGAAAATCATGCTCTGAATCAGTGAACTCATTTTCACAAGTGGAAATAGTCCCTAATGATTAGATCCCAACATCTTGGCTATGTGGGAACACCTGGCAAACAGCACAAGTAGATGCAACCTTTCTTAGCTATCCATAAAATTCCTGTTCTGTCACAAAAAAATGAGAATTAACTTCCATAAAGAGGTGGGAAGTCTGACAAAACTGCCCTTTTTGCAAAATCTTCACTAAAAGAAGCCAACTTAATGAGTGCATAAACACTCACTCTCCCAGAAACTCAGACCACGAGACGATCAGAAATAATAGTCCCAGTGGAAGAGGACACAGAACCGAAGCTCTCTGAGAATCCAAGTGTTTTACAGATAGAAACACTTTCAAGAGGAGACAAAGATCTGAACGAAGCTAGACCCAGTCCCTGGGCGCTCACACGTCTGCAGAGCTGTAGGGTATGTGTGTCCTCTGCAGGCTCCCCTACATATGCGCTATATACACTTCTACATGTTGTGCTATGTTTTTAGGTCAAGACGTGAGTGAGGGTTTTGCCAGCTCTCAGACCGTTGCATTTCTCCCCAGATTGAACAAGAAATTCAGGAATCTTGTTAATGTATGGCTTAATTCTTGCTGCTGCTGACCCAGACTCTTGGCTGCTGCCACATCTTTGAGGACTTTCTCAAGACCCTGTGTGCCAAAAGTGCTGCTGCAGTCAGCAGTCCTACCAAGCAAAGCAAAGCTGTTACTGCCACTGCCTGCAAAGCTGCATGGATTGAGGTCTCCTGTACTTTGGTTACACACGGTGCTCCTAGAGTGGTGTCACCTTTCTGGGTTTCTCACTTGCTGCCTCTTTGAGAAAATAAAGCACAGGTTATGGGGAAAACTCAGGGCTGCTTGCAGGAGCTCAGCTGCACAGGCAGCTCCGTGTGGCCGTGAGGAAGAACTTGTTTGGTGTGAGGGTGCCCGAGCCCTGGCCCAGGCTGCCCAGGGAGGCTGCGGAGGCTCCTGCTCTGCAGATCTTCCCAAGGCGCCGGGATGCGCCCGGGTGCCCCGTGCTCTGGGTGTCCCTGCTGGAGCAGGGGCTGCGCTGGGGGATCCCTAGGGATCCCTTCCAACCTTAATGATTCTGYGATCTCAGAAAGGCAGCATTGAGCCTTARTACCGGCAGATTTCAAAGAGCAACTGCAGGACACGTGAATCATCCTCTGCCTACCTCCCAATGAGCAAATGAACTTAAACCTCTCAGTTATTTGGCTATAGGATTCCAGAAACAAGGCCTTGGAGACCCAGCCACTCCAAACACGGAGCAGCTGAGATGTGTGGTGTGGAGATGGACTCGCCRAGAAGCCGAAGCTGCACTTGGGAATACAGGGAATGGGCCGAGTCAGAGCAAGCGTGAGCCTGCGGCCTCATCCCTTCATCCTGTGCACTCAAAATAACTACCAAAAACAGCAGKGAAGGACGGCTGATACTCACTCACAGCATTAATTCAGAGAGGGTTTTTTTTTCCATCTTGGCTTAATTGGCTCAGAGGAAGGGTTGGTTTTGCACGGTGCCTCCATGCATGAGACTGGTCTCACACTGACTTGCTGTCTCTGAAAGAGAGATGCAGTCCTTCTCCTCCATGAAGAAGTCTCCTTTGGTGACCACCACTCCCAAGGGCAAAGGCAAGTCTGAGTATTTGGAAAAAAAATTGTCCTGGGAAATGGAGGGGCTTCATTTCCCCCTTCCCAGCGCTGCTTTCCAACAGCGGCAACGTTGTCCTTCAGCGAGGCTGGATTTGGCAGCAAAGCTGGTGAGGGACCTTCAAGGGCTGGGGAGAAGAGGGGAAGAACAACACAGATGGGCCTATGTCCTACACAGGCTCTTATCAACTTGGTCCAAGCTGTGATGATGTGCTGGATATCTAATAAATGCACCGAGCTCTTACAAGACTGTTTAATGCTCTGGGAGGGAAAACAAATACCCATGCTGTGCATATTGTGATAAGTGGAATTAACTAAAATATAGTCGTCAAGAGGCTTTACTCTAATAAACTGTCACTTTTGCCTATCAGAAGATAAATTCCGCATTTATCTTCAAGGCGAGTTCGAGCTGAACGTGTTAAAATATTTTTTCCCATTTGGTTATCTCATGTCAGAAGATCATGACATTACCACTAGCACYGAAGAATGAAAAACTTAGTGCAACGTAAGCACGTGAATGGAAAATAAACAAAGCTACCAAATATCTGAAGGGCTGAAAATTAAAAGGAGAACAAAGGGAGAAAGAAAACCAATGGAAATCTTGATTTAAGACCCCAGCAGCACATATTTAATACTCCGAGAAGCCTCAGAGTGCTCCGAACTCCACAAGGGTTAGCACACAGGTGAAGATTTACCAAAATAGCTCTTCCAAAATAACTATTATAATGTCAATCCACAGCTAAAACGCTTTCCAGTGSGGTGAAAATGCAGTGAAAATGTAATTGATGATTATGGACGTCAAGACAAGGTGCTTGTGTGGACAGCAGTTTCTGGGCTACATAAGGCAACAAAAGGCAAATGTAATTCCCAAAGCAAGACCGACGACGCAGAGAGAGGCAGAGAGATGCCAGCTCTGCAACAAGAACAGTCAAGAAGTGTGACAGCATTAGGCAAAGGCACAGAAATATACAGAACACACAATTCAGTTTTCCAAAACAGAGCCTAATACAATTGTCAAGATCGGTCTAAGGAAAAAAACAGGATATTTTTGAAGAAAATTGGCAACATGGATAGTAACATTCCTAAACTGTATTCTGTATGCCTGTGAACCACAACTCCAGCACACGTGGTTCCAGCAGAAGTACAGCTTCAACAAAAGAAGAAATGAGACCTCAGTGAAAAAATATTCCACCCAACACTACAAAAAAAATGGATCAAAAGGATATTCAAAAAGGTTTTTTAAAGTCAGCACTGTATCAGAAATTGGGCAATGCCGTAATGTYCCAGTTTATGGCACAAATACAGCACACGATTCCATAACCAATTCTCTCTCGTGCCACCAAAATAGCTCACAGAGCTCCACGCTGCTCACGTTGGGTCTGCTGAATAGCTGTCCTAGCCCGGAGAGGTACTGTCCCCTTGCAGATTAGTTCTGCTGTTAATATCAGTGTTGACAGGAGCAGCCTGTTGTACCAGCTGCCATGCTACATTTAGATAATAAATGTGTTTAAATATACCGTGAAGAAACAAAATCATGTCACGACTTCCAAAGACCTGCTCATTCAAACACCAATAAATGCATCTTTTCTGTTTGCCTACTCAYAGGACACCCTGCAACCAACGTATCCCACCACATTAATGACTGGATCAAACCCCATTTCTTAATGAAATTAATGCATGAAATTTTAAATTACCTTGGATGGAGAGTTCTGTTTTTCCCCCTTTGTGCCCAACAGGATCTGGCTAATGATGCGAATGCATCATGTGAGTTACATTAATTGCTTCTAGAGGCATCGAATTTGCTCTGCTGGGGCCTCACCTGGCTCCAGCAGCAAACACTGCTCCATGCCTGGGTTATAAGCTGCATTTAGGCACTTCCTTTCTTTTTTCCTGCTTCAAAGCCCACTTGTGCAAGTGCAGCTACCATTTTGTGGTACAAATTGAAGTGTAGGTGACACACAGGTTGAAATAAATGCAAAAGCTTTATGGGAGGGTAGGTGGGACCCAAGAGAAGCAGCATTATGTGCACATGGCAAAGGCAACGTGTGCAAGAGGGTGTTTTGGAGAAGGGAGGAAAAGGCATCCAAGCAAATACTCCCTTCCACAGATCCCACATCTCTCCAAGCACCATACCAAAACGAAAAAAAATGCAAGGTGTTGAGAAGTTTGTGTCTCCTTTCCTCCCACCACACTGCGAGGATAAGTTTTACAGCAGGTTCTGGAAATTACACCCCCTACTTTGTTATCAAGGACACCACATGGACCTTCCCCTCCCACGTATGAATCAACAACCCCATGTATAATAAACTGTACGATATGAGGCTCAGTTAAGATGCTGAGGATCTTCTATAGGCCTAGGAGGAGGGACACTGGAAGAGTCCATGGGGTGTTGTGTTTGGCAGCTAGACTACACATGCCCTCCTGCAGCCTTCCCTGTCTTCCTTGTGTTCCCTCTCCACCTGCATCCCAAATCCCACAGAGGGCAGGTCACGCTCTCCAGAAGAACCTGGGGCCTAAGCCAGAGCAACATTATTTCCTAGGAACGCACACACTGTCTAACCTAGAGCTCCCACACTGGCACRTACATATCAACAATGATATCAAAAATGCAAAATCCTTCAAAGCTACATGCAACCCAAGGGAGCTGTGAGCTCTGAGGGCTCACAGGAGCTTATTAAATGTTTGAAGGCACCCAGATATTGGGGATGGAGGAAAGCAGGAGTGGTGGCACAGACGGGCAGAYCTGTAGCTTAACCGACAGGCTCAGCACAGCTGAAACCACAGGTTTCCTAGTAACGTAGGTGCATTAAAAATGAAACACTGCTGTGTGCTCTCAGCTTCTACTTTGAAGCATGAAAGGTCCAGCCATTCTCACTTATCCGTCTTAAGCTTTTTCAAAGGGCAAAATCTGACATCCTGTGTCTCTGATGCAAACGAATGYAAGCTGCCTGTCCCCTCCATCACGTGCACATGCAACACACACATACACGATGGMAGTGCTAACACAAAGTGCTGCACAGTGCTGTGAACACAGCCTGTGAAAACTGCCACCGGGCCTGCCTGGCAGACGCTGCTTCTGAGACTGCTGGGCTCCAGGGGATGGGAGCAGATGSGATATTCCTAGGTCAGATGGGATCTTCCTCACTGATAATTTTTAAGCTATTAAAAGGGGATTTCAATCTAAGATGATATTCTAATTTGCAGATTTTGTACAGAATATTTTACAGAATTTATGCCAATAATGAGCATTTATGCTAATGTGCAGTACTGCTCTGATATTTCTTGAAAGGCATCTGAGACCAGGATGAGATTAACTGGAGCACTGGAAGTCTTGTTTTCTCTAAGAGGAATTTCATATATTGCATTGCCAGGTAAAGTGGGACTTCTGATGGAAAAGACACCTGCATCCTAAGCTGAGATTAATCCACACACTACACCCCTGCAGGCAGTTTCAGTGYGAATGGAGTAGGGATAAAGTCAAAGAGCACCTTAGCAATTCCAAGGGGGGAATTTTGTTTCTGGCATTTGTTAAAACAGCCACTCACAATGGGGGTCTATTTGCATATGCAAAGTAATTGATGTGTCTCCTATGAAACCCCAAATCTYGGGTGCATTTTGGTGAATAGTTGCAGATTTTAATCCGGATCTTTCTCTTTGCTTTTACTCGCTTGCTCTTAAACAACACAAGTGGAAGAGCAGTGATTCACCAGAACAAGGGGAGTAGGGAGTAGCAGGTTGTTTGAGAAGACAAATGATGCTGTAGTGAAATCAAGAGGTCTCCATCATCCCGGAGAGCACTAGAGTGGAACAATGAGCCAAACGAACACGGGAGCCTCCTGACACGATGGGACAGCCCACGGCTACGGCACCACTGCCACCGACATGAGCACCAACCTACACTGCGGTTCTGCACGTAAAGGGAGGCCCACWGAGCTCTTATCCTGAAATCAGCAATCCAGCTCAAACACTTCCATAAGGATCCCTGGTTATGGTACCATTTCCCTTGCCTGCAATGGAAATAAAGCAGTGCAACTGTGTAACACACAGGCTAAACCACCTGCACAATATACCCTTTCACAATATTAAGTGTGTTAATGCAATTAACACATTTGTAGCCTCTTTTTTTCAGCTAATGGAGCATTCCTTAACACCACCTCAACCCCCAGGGCTGTTGTCAAGACTTGTGTTTTCTTCTAATGCTCAACAGAAATACTTTCAGGGCGAGGATTTACTTTTTATCAGGCATCTGTGCAGGGAAATCAGTGTATAGACCTACAGCAATAGCWTGCAACTAATGTTATTGCAAAAATAACTTTGCACTGAGACTATAAATATTCACCTAGCTCCTCATTTTCCCTCCCTTATGATGACGTACTTCACTTGTCCACTCTTCTGACATGCAGCAGGAAGAGTGGAGATACCCCTGGATTTGGGCTAAATGCAGATCTGTCCCCATTCAGTAGTCACTAATCAAAGGTGCTATAAATTCATTGACTTCTTCCCTAAAAGTCAGAAGTGCCGGTCATGAAAATAGAATATATCTTTGCTCTTCTGGCTTGCAACTGCCCTCTCTAGGTCTATACATTCAAATCAGCACAGAAAATAGTGTACCCACTAATGACTTTGAGGTGGAGAGAGAGAGAGTTAAAACCGAAGGGTTTGTAGTCACTGATAACATCAGCCTTACACTCAGAATTGCTACTGCAAMTATTGTGAAGCACTCACATAGCTGTATTCTTGATGATCCTTCCTTGGTCCATTTTCTGCCCAATACCGTGCACAACAAACACAATGTGACTAGTCTGTGGTGGCTTGTCTTCTAACGTGGCTTCTTCCACATAGCCTCTGTGTAGCCTTGTCCCACTGCTTGACGCTGCAGGAAGAATATTATTCTAGATCAGTTACATTCAACGAAGTGCGATGCTCTATATACGTTAACTGACCAGTGATTTGTCTCAGATCAATGCATTAAAGTATTCTGAAAATAACATTACATATAAATAACGTGTATTTTTCAATGTCTGCAGTTTTAAAGTTCTGAAAGATTTGAGCAATTGGGTGATATTAATTGTATTGGCCAATTAATTATAGGCCATTTCCGCTGTGACAACTAATTTCACAGTTGTTTTGAAAGAGAAAACAACAACAAAAACCAACCACTTTTTAGAAAACAGTTGGTTAATTGTCTATCTGCTTATGTAGCACAACTAGGTACCCTTCTGTGTGCCTCCAAACATCCTTACCTCTCTACCTTTCTTCCAGAGTATTAAGCAATTATTGAAATATTTTTGTCCCAAAATTGCTAGGCTGGGCATTCTCTCCGRGCCCATTAAGACAGCTGGTGGAAAAGCTTCACAGTTTTTCACTTTTACAAGGAATATTTCATTTTGCTTCACGTAGATCCAGCTCCACGTTTCCCCACTCAGTCTCCATGTCAGCAGCCAAGCCAAGAGTCAGTCACCCAAGGCAACTAGAGCTACTAACTCTCCACCCTGCTGCTGGCTTAGGAAAGCCACTGGCAAAGTGTGTCTCCATCCCCCTCTAGTGACAGACCAACAGAGAAGGCAACAGCCTTGCACAAGGGCTCCCTGTGCAAAGGGGAGAAAGAAGCAACCCAGCAACCCCCTCAGATGGCCATGTAGAGGAGGACAGCACCTCTCCCCATGATAAAAGCTAAATCAACTGATCTGTTTTTTTTTTAAAGTAGTAGGAAAACAAAGAATGAGCATTGAGCATATGAGATGTGCAAATCAACATTTAAAAACTGCAGAATTAAGGTCACTTTTGCAACACGAGCTCTTGCCATGGTCAACACAAGCATTAGGATGATGCCTGTACCTACACGATCACATGGCAGTTTTTATAAATGACAGATTTAGCTTGTCAAGTGAGCTGCTATTTGGGATACTTCTCTCCTGATTTTTTAAAATGCATCTTGCGTATTAGTTACCACACACTGTACAAATCACATTCAGGATAGAGTACTTCATTTCTCCTGGAATTTTGAGCAATAGCACTGAGTTATATTAATTCTTGCCAAATATTAATTAAATATCTGCCCATTAGCCATGAGGGGTATGAGGGCATTAATTACAGAGGCTTGGAAATGAGAGCCAAACCTGCATCTTGTCTATTCAGATAAGAAGAACAAAACAGGAGGAATTTGCTTGAATTCTTAATGCAGACGTCCAGCAGAGAGGACAAGTTTCAGTGTTAGGTCCACTGACTCTGGAGCTGGTAGTTTTGAGCTTAAATGAGAAGGATTCTTATGAAAAAGAGTTTCCCCTCCCCTAATACACTGGCCTTTCAGATGAACAGTAAAAAAGCAGGAGCTGGAGAGAGGGAAGGTATGATCATGTATTTAAGGAATGAGGCACAATATGCAAGTACACAAGGGCAAAGTTACACTGGCAGAAAGAACCATAATTTTTTATATTAGAGCTGCTAGATTTTGCAACTCTAATATTTTAATATACTTATTATGTATATAGCTATTGCATCCAAAATAATAATAAAACAAGTAATGAAAATACATCGTAGCTATTCATGTCTAGATGCAAGCACCTACAATAATGTAAAGCACCGAATATAATCCTCTGCAACACTGCAATGACAAAAATGGGCTCAGCACATATCCGAACTCCATCTTCTCTTCCTAGCGTTAAAGCAAAAAACTGTTAAAAAAACAGTATTTCCAATATTGTTTACAAACTCTGAGCAAAATTACCTTTGGAAAACCCCAACTTTTGTGTGACAGTTCTTGCAATTTTAGATGTTGTTGCGTCGCTGTACAGATACACTTCATCCACACTGTGCCAGTCCACATGGTTGCGGCTCAACTTTAAACTATGAATAGCTGCAGCAAAAGGGAACAACATTTAATTTAGATGGGTAAGAGGAAAAAAGGTCTTTTTAGGCAGAGAGTGAAAAGGGAAATTCACACAGAGTAAAGCTAGAGCTCTATTATATCTAAATCTGCATTACTTCTTACCTTGAAAAGATTTTGAATTTAAGATTAATCAGAACATGAAGAAGTTTGAAGGTCACCCCTGAGGACATTTCACATCCTCCTCCCACTCCCATTCCTTCTTTGGGGATAGTGACCTTCCAAAATCTACTTTTTAGCCAAAAAACAAAATACAGGGGGAGCAAGGGAATGAATCCCAAAAGACTGCAGGTTGCTGGGATGACCAGGCGGCTGTCACATGTGTGTCACTTGCTAGCAAAGGGCAACTGCATTCCTATTTTCTTCCTCCTGTATCTGTACAACGAGATCCCTGCTTTGGCTGCGCCTGCAGCCCTCTGCAGTTACACAAATAGATGCTTTCAGAGCTCCATTACTAGAAGGCTCTGCTGGACCTTTTATCTTTTCAGAAACGTCCAGGAGTTGGAAACGCAGCTCTGTGAACAAGCCTCTGAATGAGGATTTTCTGGCACAGAACAGAATCTGGGTCTTTCAAAAGCCACTAAGAGCTCTAGTGCCTTTGTGCACTTAGTGTCTTTTCCAGATTTGGAACGGACTGAACTCCGGGACCAAACTCATGCTGCACGGCTCGACTGTCAGGATTAAGCACGGCAGGCACGTTATGATGCAGGTTGGACTCTCTGCTCTAAGCTTCGGGCTTGCATGGGCAGCACAGTATTGCAGCTCTACTCCCTAGTAATTTATATTTCACCAAGGTTTGGAAATCTGTTGCTTTAGCCTCAACTAACATGACAGATGAAACATTTAGAAGAGCTGTAAATTAGCAGTGGTTGCAATGTGGCAAAGGTGTTATTTAGCTGTGTCAGCAGGTCATGGTAATAAGCCTGCAGTCATAGAAAGGGCTTGGAACCACATCTTTTTTTTTTTTTTTTTTTTTTTTTTTTTTT